CAAATGGCTACAGATTCCTTGCTACAACAGGTCCCATCCGCAGAGATCGTGATCCTTGGCGATTTTAACGCCCACCACGCCGAATGGCTCGGTTCACCTTTAACCGATCATGCGGGGAGATCTGTTTATGACTTTGTCTTGGCATATGATCTGACACAATTGGTTACTTCGCCTACGCGGATTCCAGATGTGGAGGATCATATGCCATTTACCTTCCCTGTTGGACCTTCTGCTGACCTCTCATCCGGTCGGATATCAGGTTTCCGTCGATGCTCCTCTCGACTCTTCGGACCATTGTCTGATCCGGAGTGTGGTGCCACTCACGCTCCCCTCGCGGTTGCGTTCTGCAGGTTGCCGCCGTGTTTGGCATTACAGGTCGGCGGATTGGGACGGAATGCGGTCTTTCTTTGCATCCTACCCATGGGTTTGCTTCTCGCCGGATGATCTCAGCGCTGTTGCTGACTCTGTCACTGATGTGGTGCTACACGGAATGGAACTATTTATTCCATCATCTCTGGTACACATCGGAGGCAGATCTCAGCCTTGGTTTGGTCGCTCCTGTAAAACTGCATTACGCAGTAAGCAGGAGTGTTATCAAGCCTGGTCTGCGGCTTCGGCGACTCGGGATGTAAACACCAGCAAACTTAAAAAGAGGTATAACTTCGCCTCCAGGTCCTTCAAAAGAGTTATTGCCAAGGCAAAGTCAGAGCCCATAGGCAGAATTGGCGAGAAACTAGTTCGCCTTCCTTCGGGAACCCGTACATTCTGGTCTCTCGCCAAGGCTGTCCAAGGGAATTTCTGTAAGCCATCACTACCATCTCTGCACAGGGAGGACGACTCACTGGCCCATGCCGTAAAAGACAAAGCCGACCTTTTAGGCTCCCTTTTTGCGTCCAACTCGACTCTTGATGACGGGGGGAAAACACCACCGACCATCCCGCGGTGTGAGTGCTGCCGGATGTGCTGTTCTCACAGCGCTCGGTTCGCAAAGCGCTCCTCTCCCTGAACATCCAGAGGTCGAGTGGGCTTGAAGGAATCCCCCCAATTGTGCTGAGGACGTGTGTTCCGGAGTTGGCACCGATCCTAACGTGTCTTTTCCGGTACTCCTACTCCCAAGGCGTAGTCCCGAATTCATGGAAGACAGCTTTTGTCCACCCGATCCCTAAAAAAGGTGACGGCTCAGACCCGTCCAACTATGGGCCTATCGCCATCACCTCCTTGTTCTCCAAAATGGAATCCATAATTAACTGCCAGCTCATGCGGTACCTTGAGGATCACCAGCTGATTAGTGACCGCCAATACGGTTTTCGTCGGGGTTGATCAGGTGGTGATCTTTTGGTCTACCTGACTCATAGATGGGCGGAGGCAGTAGAGTCCAAGGGGGAGGCGTTGGCTGTGAGTTTGGACATTGCGAAGGTCTTCTATCGGGTTTGGCACAAAGCGCTTCTTTCGAAGCTCCCTCCCCTCCTATGGGCTTCCCGATAAATTGTGCAATTGGATGACCAGCTTCCTTGCAGATCGGAGCATCAAGGTCGTTGTAGACGGTGCATGCTCCGACTACAAGCCTATTAACGCTGGTGTTCCACAAGGCTGTGTGCTATCACCAACGCTGTTTATTCTGCATATCAATGATATGTTGCAATCTGGTAACATTCATTGTTATGTGGATGACAGTACTGGTGATGCTTTATACACCGGCCGTGCCAATATTTCTCGGGAAACGTTTTAATTTTTTTTTTAATTTTTATTCAATATTGATTATTACATAATACTTATTGAAAGTCATTTTTTATTTACCACTGGTTCGGAAAACACCCCAGTCCTGGGAAGAACCAGCAAGAAACCCAACGGGACAAAGTAATCACCCTTGCAATCGATGCACCTTTGCCAATGCAGTTTATTGATCTTAAAGAAACAGCTGGACGAGAGGCAACAAATACTTCAAACGCATTTTGTACTGCCTCTCAGGTATTGATTTTTATTCCCGCCTATAAGTTATCCAAATTTTGGAAAAAGTATAAGTCAGTAGGCGAAAAGTTTGGTGAGTTCAGCGGATGACAGAGAGCTTCCAACTCCAGCTCTTGTAACTTGGAGACCGTCTGTTGTGCAGTATGAGGTTGCGCGTTGTCGTGCAGGAGCAGCGGGGACAAGCGATTGACCAAAGCTGGTTGGAGACGTGCCAGGTTCTCCATCATTGTGTTCAGTTGTTTATAGTATATATCTGCAGTAATGCTCAGCCCATTTGTTAAGAAGCTGTGATAAATCTAACTGGCGCCAGACCACCAAACACTTACCATCATTTTTCTAGGCGTAAATTTTCGTTTAGGCAATTGTTTAGGTGCTGAACCAGAATTCAACTAACTTGGTGTGCGCTTGCGATTGTCAAACAGACTTAATGTTTCACCTAAACAGGTGCTGAACCAGAATTCAACCAACTTGGTGTGCGCTTGCGATTGTCAAAGAGACTTAATGCTTCGTCGGAGGTAGGTATCAATGCGGTTATAAATCCCTTTATTTGTGTGCCTGTTGATCAGTGCAAGGCACGTCTCTACGGGTACTTCACCCTGGCGGTTATTGAGTTCTTGGACCACCCATTTGTCAAGCTTTTTACTTTGCCAATTTGATGCAAATGTACTAATATTGTTTTGATGCTAACGTCGTAATCTATTGCTAATTCAGCCGTAGATTGAGTATCATCAGTTTCTAAAATCGCTTTATTACGTCATTGTCAACCAAAGTTTTCGAACGACCACAGAGTTCATTTTTGAGGTCAAAAGGAGACAATCGTTTTTGGGCCTATTAGAAATTTTAACGACCCTCAACGGCATTACACAAAAAAAGATACGAATTTAATATTGTAAATAGCCTAAAGGTTTTATGAAAATCTAAACGGAATCAAGATATCTAAAAAAAAGGGTTGTTATGATATTGGTGTTCAGGTCATTGGTTCTGGTAATGTAATATTAATAATTGTAGTAGAGATATGCCAACTTGGAAGAAACTGGACTCGAACTAACTCGACTCGAGTTAACTCGAATTGAAATTAACGTAGCTCGAATTGGTGGAACGAAGCTGTATCAATGTGTTACAAATTATTTTTATATTTTTTCTTCCATTCTACACAAATATTATTCCTACACATAATAGGTAGTTATATATTTTTGATTTGCGTATAGACAATCTTCATAAAATAATGTCACTCTAAATTTATGACGTATTAATATAATTAATAATTTATCTGTCACAAATTATAATATTATATATCAATAAATTGCTCGAATAAGTAAGCGAATTTATCACTAAATTGTAGACAGACACTTCATTGATCATAAGATAAATATGCGACTCGAGTAAAGTATAGTGATTTGAGTCACTCGGGTTAATTAATCATGTCACTCTAGTTGTGCTCCAGTGTTCAAGTAATTCGAATCAACTATTTACGGTACCTGAAACGAGTAGAAGTTCATCATTCGAGTTTAGAGTAGCGATTACTTTAGTTAAAGCATTTTAAAATTAACTGATAGTTTCGTAAAAAATCACTAAAATTTTCTACACATTTTAGGGAAAATGTTATAACTGTACTGTCGTAACACATAATAAAAAAGGTATTCCTGAAGGCAGTACTGTTATAACCGTAATACGGCTAAGGTCGTACTGTACTTGCATGATAACAGTACGGCTATAGCGGTTTAAAAATAAAAGTCAGCATTCGTAGGAAATATTTTAATTAGTAGGATCTTACTCCAGTTCTTAATTATTTTAAATAAAATAAAACAGAAATATCTATTATAATCACTCACAGCCTTTTTTAATAAAACTAATTTTACGGATTTTATCGCGTATATTAACTTATTTTTATATTCCTGACGTTTCGGTTGCTTTCCAGCACCCGTGGTCACGGGGGACTGAGGTGTTTGACGTCCTGCTGTCACAGTTAGCCCGGCTACCTTCAGTTTTTTTTTTCAGTTTTTTAATATTAATTTTTTTAATTAATATTAAAAAACTGAATTAACGGCTAACTATGACAGCAGGACGTCAAACACCTCAGTCCCGCGTGACCACGAGTGCTGGAAAGCACCCGAAACGTCGGGAATATAAAAATAAGTTAATATACGCGATAAAATCCGTAAAATTAGTTTTATTTAAAAATGTGTAGTGTTCGCGTAAATATAAGAAATCATCACTCACAGCCTATTAATTAGTAAGAACTTACTCCAGTTCTAAAAAAATATGTGTATAAATCAATATTTTCTTAGAATAATAGCTTTATTTTATGTATCTCCCCTCTTGACATATTTGGCGTGCCATTTCTCAAAACATGTAGGGCATAAGGGAGTTTTTTCTCGGCATCCCTTGCACCTGTATCTTGTCTCTTTGCGTTTCTTCTTTTTAGTGCAGAGGCTACAGTTCAAATATTTAAAATTCCTCTTGGAATCAGTTTAGCACGGAATATCTTTAATGCTTATCAAATTTTCCTGTTGAAGTTCCTTTTTTGGAGCTCTAACTGCAGTTCGTCGACTGGAATGTATGCTACCAGTTCTTATAATGTTTCTACCAGAACAACCACCCTCTAAGTTTATCATTTGTTTTATTAAATCTTCGCGATAGTCCAGAAATTCGTATTTCACATCGTTTTTAAAGTATTTTTTGTAGACAATGAAAGAATTTCAAACAGATATATCTAAGAGATGAAAGAATATTTTCTTATACCATCGAATTGTTTTCTGTGGCGAGGAGTAATATGCAACCGTTTGGTCTTTCCTATCTATTCCTCCCATATATTTATTATATTCTGAAACCTCTTCAGGCTTTTGTGAAATTTTTCCAAATCGGTTTGAAACAATTATTAGCTTTTGGTAGTTATATTTCTGGTAGTTATAACGTAAACTGGACGCTTATCATACCACGCTGATACGTAAACTTGCTTTTTACGACACCAAAAAAAAATTACCCTTTTTTAGTTTTATTTGTGTCAGCCCCTTAGGGTTTGTCTTTCTGTTTTAACGAAGTGTGCCATTGGTGTGGGTATGCAACTCTAGTAATTTCTGACTCAAATCGACATCATTATAAAAATTATCGATGAATACGTGATGACCTTTCATCAAGTATGGTTCCAGCAGTTTCATAACTATTTGTTCGGTTTTCTTCCCATACGTATTATCATCTTCGCCCTTACCACAATACATAATAATATTCAGAACATATCCTATTGCACTGGTTAGGATATAAAATTTTATACCATAACGAGCCTTAGATTTTATGTACTGCCTGAAATATAGTCTACCCCTGTATAAAACTAGAGATTCTTCTAACGATAATTCTTTGCCAGGACCATATACACGACGAAAGTTCTCAGATAGAGCTTCAATACAACCAGTTATCTTCTTCTCCCTTTTTGTCTCAATATCTGATACATAAATGGCTCGTAATATTTGATCAAATCTCCTAGATGACATCACATAAGAAAATATCGGATATGATCATCGGAATATGAGAAGAGTTTTCGCCTCTTTTGAATTTTAATTTGGCCTTGTATAAATAAACAAAGCCCCTAGAAACCTAACATTTCTTCTTTGGTTACATCACATCATGGATCCTGAATTTATGCCAGCCACAGTAGATAGACAGTATAGATGGTACATATATTTATGTGTAAAAATGTAGTAATTACATGTATGAGAAGCAAATATACAGTTTGCATAAGCGTTGTTACTTAGTTAAGACATTTTTACTTGTGTAATGATATATCTTTAACGTTTTTGGACCAAACCCTACGACGGAATCAGATTATTCTATTATGCTTAGACTGCCGTATTGTTAACTCTGCAGAAAGATATATTACGATCAGATACTAAATATAAAATTATATATTTTTCTTCTACATGAAACCAGTGAAAATAAAAAAAAAAAACTCAGACAACTTTTACATAGTCAAATATTTTTGGTGTAAATTCATCATTAGTACTTCTGCATTTGATCAACTGAACTAATTAACGGTGTATATTTTATACAAATTTATTATTTATTTAACATACAGGCAAAGATAATAAAATGCTGACAGAAATATGGAAATATAGTTTATTACCATTGAAGGAATCTAAATGGAGTACTGAAAAATTAATAATTAAAATATGAATCTTACAATAACATAAAAACAAACTAAAGGCGAAAATAAGCAGGAAATATGTTATAACTTTACTTATAAATTGTTTTATTTATGAGCAGAACTAAATGTACCCAGTACATGTGCTTGAGCAACCGAGCTTTATTTGGTATTAGAAGAATATAATTTTCTCCGGGATGAGACCCATCGAGATGAACTTGGAAATTAAAATAATAGTGAAATACGAAGTTTCATAAAAATCACTAAAGCCGTTTCCGAGAAAAAAATAATATAAGTAGGGATAAACGAAGTCATTCATTTTATTGAAAATAAAATATCTTCAATACGAGCCCTCCCACGCGGAAGATTACGTGTTTGATACGTACAAATCTTATGATCATACCCTTTTCGGTTTAAAATAATAAACAACCTCAAATCTTGCCAGACAAATACTTTTTATGATAACAACCCCTGGGAATGAGGTGGTTGCTTCCAAGCTGTTTCTAAAATAAAATTTGTAAATAATTTATACAACCATTCATGCAAAATTTACTTTTAAAAAAGTCCCGCCGGGTTTCTTGCTGGTTATTCCCAGGACAGAGGTTTTTCCTGAACCAGTGTTAAAGTAAAATATGACTTTCAATAATAATACAAATGTGATCTATATTGAATAAAAACATTTTAATCTTTATTCTTTTCTATTCTATTCTATTTATGAGGTGGACTGTGTGCTCGCTCATCCTTATCCTATAAAAAAAAGAAAAATAATGTGGCTACAATTTCCCCATCAGCCTGTAAGAAATCCACTGCTGGACATCGATGTCTTCATTTATAGAGAAGATTTGCTCTTATATGTATTTTATCATCATAGCCTATTTAAGTGCACCCATAGTGCCTCATAGGGATGATATTTTCTATAGTTGCCACGCATAGCAGGCGGGTTGGCAACAACATTTTTTTATTATTTTGAGTTGTTGCCAGGAAGATAGTGCTGCCCATCTCCTGTTTAAGTTCCGACACCCACGGGAAGATATAAGCTAGTGGATTTTGTAACGACGCCACTAAACGATGTAATTATGTATGAATACACTATGTAGTGTATGTGTGTAGGTTTGGTGTAAAATCTAAATACAGGTCAAGTTTTTATCAAAAAATATAAAAGAACTATTTTTATAAATACAGCAAAACTTTTATGAGTTTCTACGGGCATTAAACTGCGTTTACGGCAGCGGCTCGTCGCCGCCTGCGCCCGCGTTTCCCAAAAGAGAGTCGCTTACGATTCGGCAGAAAGGCCTCATAAGCCAATGCCATACCACGATAGCCAGCTGTCGTAGTATGCTTAGAGCATTCACCACCGCCCTCTCGTTTACGGGGGTAGCCCTTTTCAATTGCTTCTGGGCGCAAAAAAAAGCATATTAACTATGCATATTATATAATATGTATATTAAAATAAATATTTGTGTTTAACATAAGGGGCTTACGAGGAAACAGTAAAAACGGGAAGGTTTATGTTTAGCTTTCACAGGTTGTAACGAATAGAAAGGAAAAAACTATTATGGTTAAAACCATAGTAATTAAGGCAAATTTCATTAATTTAGATCTTTAATTACTTCCATAGATTTGTTGTATTAAATTAACGAAACGAGAGCTTTTTTATAGTACGCAAACATATTATGGAACAATTCGCATTAAGGTACTTGTAATTTAGAACTCTAGCTTGTTTGCTCAATACAAATTTGGTCACATGATTTATCAATTCCACACTAAACGATATTCATAATTAAGTATTCTTCGTTATTAATTTAGCTTTTATTTCAACAAAACTAAAAAAAAGGGCTTAACGCCTTTAACGCCTGTCACCAAGACTGGCTGTTCCCATACCAGAAGACCGACCATGCTGGAAGATAAGCGTGGAGTTTTGCTTTGACGCTAGGTCTTTCTCAGCTGGTAATGGAAGCGACTAGGATACCCGAACCAGACTTGTATGGAGGACAGGTTACCTCCACTTTGGGTACATCTGACCGCTGTCTCGTGAAATCTGTATCGTTATATTATATATATATATATATATATATATATATATATATATATATATATATTTATTTACTCTCACAAAATAGGTTTACAAGGTAGGTTACAAACAAAGTAGACTATGGGCTGAGAGTCTAGCGTCTGTACTAGGCGGAAGCCTGTGTTACGGATCACCAGGGTCTCCCCCTCAGGATAATATCATCACAACTTAACATGCTATTTGTATGATTAACAAATGAGAGACAAATGAATTGTAATATTAGTTACTTTAGTGATGTGTGTGTGTGTGTGTTTGTGTGTGTGTGTGTGTGTGTATGTATGATCTATCTATGTATGTATGTATGATGTATCGTTATATTCTGTGTTCGACGAATATGGCGATATAAGTCAGCTGATTGGGATGAGATGCGATCCTCTTTTGAATCCTGTCCTTGGCGGGAGGTCTATTTCTCTTCTAGGATCCGTCGAGCTGCGCCGATGCGATAACCGATGTGATGCGTCAAGCTATGGAGTATTTTATCCCCTTTTCTGACGCTCCCATTAGTAGCAAATCTCGTCCGTGGCTTAACTTTGAATGCGCCTAAGCTGAAAAGTGCAAGCATTTAGTGTACCTTTCCTGGGTTGACACTCGAAACCGCAAAGCTCCGTATATTAGATAAAGATTTCAATTCCGTAGTGACACTCATTATCTCAATCTGCGTTATTCACATAGTTTATTCCTGTCTACTCCTCTCCACCATTGGCTTTATGTCAAATTCTTTCACAGTTAATTCTATTACCCTCTGGAACAAATTGCCTGTTGACCTGCGAACAATACCTGCCAAAAATGTTTTTAAAAGACAAGTATATGAGCATATCCGTAGCCTACAAGGTTAAGTCAATTTACTTTATATGTTTATAGTTATTCATATAAACATTTATTGAAATATATATGTGTAAATGTGTGTATTTATATATGTGTACTAATTATATATAATTTATATATATATATGTGTATATTTTATGAATGTGTTGCATGTATATATTTGAACCAAATTATATCATGACAACTAAACTGCCCAAACTCACTCTCTGTTCTACCTAAGGTTAGCTGGTAGAGAATGCCATATAGCATTAAGCTCGCCTTTTGTACATATATTTGGTGCAATAAAGAATAAATAAATAAATATTAGCTCCAAGAAGAAAACTTTCAACCAGGCCGCCAAATCCTACAAAAAAGCATTACGGAAAGATAGTCTCGATCGCATTAAACATATTGGTGCAAAAATCTCTGCCAGACCATCCAGCGCTAGAGCTTTTTGGTCTCTCGTCAAAGCGGTCGAGAAAAACTTCTGTCGGTCTACACTGTATCGGATAATAAAACAAGACGACACACTAGCATATACTGCTAAAGAGAAAGCGGATTTGTTCGCGTCTCTCTTTGCCTACAATTCACAAGGTTCTTAAAACCTTACGGTGCCTAGACGCGAATAAAGCTAGTGGACCAGATGATATACCAACTATAGTTCTAAAGGCTTGTGCATCTGAGTTGTCTTCTGTGCTGACACGCTTGTTCCGACTCTCATTTAGGACTGGAATAGTGTCAAAATCCTGGAAGCTGGTCAACCTGCAGCCTGTTCCAAACAAGAGCAGCCGTGCTGACCCTGCTAATTATCGGGCAATATCAATTACCTCCCTCTGCAAGATTGTGGAGCGTATATTGAACGCCCGCTTTGTTGCATACCTTGAACAGAATGAACTCTTTAGTTACCGGCAATACGGGTTTCGCCGAAATCGTTCCGCTGGGGACCTTATAGCGTATGCCACGCACGTATGGGGCGAAGTAATCGAGAACAGTGGGGAAGCACTTGCTATTTCCCTTGATGTCTCGAAGGCCTTTGACAGAGGTTGCACGATAGCATTTTCGGTAAGCTTCCAGCGTACGGCTTATCCCCTGGTCTGATTGACTGGGTAAAGGACTTTCTCAGTGAAAAGTTTGTCCGTGTCGTCGTCGAGGACTGCACATCAGATTCAGTGACCGCCCATTCTATCTGAAACTCCATTCCTGCTGCATATTAATGATCTGTTTATGCCCGATATCTATGGGTATGCCGACGATAGCACAGTTTTTTATAGAATAAGGATGACAAACGAGCACACAGTGCACCTGATGGTAAGTGGTTGCTGTGGCCCATAGATGTCTACATCTATCTTCGTTTGCGAATTAAAATGCAGATGCGTTGTCATTCGTGAGGACTAAGATAGAATGCCTCTTTTCCAGTAAATAGGGTCTTCGGTTCTCTACAATCACCATACGCAACACAGCAGCGTTAAGCTGCTATT